CCATCCATCCATCCCTCCATTATCCATGCATCCATCTATTATCTATCTATCCCTCCATCATCCATCCCTCCATTATTCATCCATCCATCCATCCATCCATCCATCCATTATCCATCCATCTATTCATTATCCATCCATCCATCCATTATCCATCCATCTATTCATTATCCATCCATCCATCCATCCATTATCCATCCATCTATTCATTATCCATCCATCCATTCCTCCATTATCCATCCCTCCATTATCCATGCATCCATTATCTATCTATCCCTCCATTATCCATCCCTCCATTATCCATGCATCCATTATCTATCTATCCCTCCATCATCCATCCTTTCATTATCCATCCATCTATTCATTATCCATCCATCCATCCCTCCATTATCCATCCCTCCATTATCCATGCATCCATTATCTATCTATCCCTCCATTATCCATCCCTCCATTATCCATGCATCCATTATCCATCCATCTATTCATTATCCATCCATCCATCCCTCCATTATCCATGCATCCATCTATTATCTATCTATCCCTCCATTGTCCATCCCTCCATTATCCATCTATCCCTCCATTATCCATCCCTCCATTATCCATCCATCCATCCATTATCCATCCATCTATTCATTATCCATCCATCCATCCCTCCATTATCCATGCATCCATCTATTATCTATCTATCCCTCCATCATCCATCCCTCCATTATCCATCCATCCCTCCATTATCCATGCATCCATCCATCCATACATCCATCCATCCATCCATCCATTATCCATCCATCTATTCATTATCCATCCATCTATCCCTCCATTATCCATCCATCCATCCATCCCTCCATTATCCATCCCTCCATTATCCATGCATCCATTATCTATCCATCCCTCCATTATCCATCCATCCATCCATCCATCCATTATCCATCCATTATCAATCCATCCATTATCCTTCCATCCTTTATCCATCCATCCATCCATCCATTATCAATCCATCCATCCATCCATTATCCATCCATCCATCCATCCATTCATTATCCATCCATCCATCCATTATCAATCCATCCATTATCCATCCATCCATCCATCCATCCATTCATTATCCATCCATCCATCCATTATCCTTCCATCCTTTATCCATCCATCCATCCATCCATCCATCCATCCATCCATCCATTTAAAATACCTTAACCTTTCCTAAGACCTTTGCAGAAAATTTTACTTTAAGTTACCAATCTGAAAAGTGTGGTGTCCATTTTGCTTCTGCCCGCTGTTGTTTGGTGTTTAACTTACCCTGCTGTTACCAGCATGTTTTGCTGTATGGATTTTTTTCTTCCTCTAATGATACTAAGATAGTTGTAAATCACAATTGCTGTTTTTGAAAGGAGAATAAAAATTGCTAATTAAAACTGATAAAATTTTTTATTTTTAAGTAATATTTCAATAACATCAGATAAAGGATAATATTACTACTTTAAAACTAGATTCTCAGCTCATTCTTTTTCTGCAAACTTAACCTGTTATCTATAAAAATTGCAAAAAAGCATTTTAAAACACCTTAAAAAGTAAAGATTAAATCAGCTGCTGCTCTTTAACCCTTGTTTAGCGTCCAAACTGCCATTGTAATGGTACACAGCAGCCTTGTTGTGGCTGAATGAGGTGGCAGATTTTGAGGCCTACGTTCTATGAACGGGACGGGAAAGTTATTGGGTTAAAAGAACTGGATTTGCATCACACTTTGGCCAAACTCAGGACTTGAAATAATTTCTTTCTGTTGTGTATTTGCTTTAGAGCGCCTGCCTTTAGTTAACCTTCTGAGAAACTGGAATCGTTCAAACTGATCCAGATAAATAAATCTCAGCAGAGTGGTTGGTTGTAGTTCTTTTTTTTTTTTCTAAAATGATCTGGCTGGCAGGTATGGGAAGATTTATTTAAGCTGCCAGCACTTCTGAATCTAAAAATATTTGTAAACAGTTTGGAATATTTAACTACTTAAAAATTCCTCAACATAGTTTCAGAGGCCTTTGAACACCCAAACATTTCAGACGTGACTTTGACTGATACTTTGCCCAAGGCCTAGCTGCCAGGCTCGCTTTGATGGATGTTTGAGGAAAACACAGATTGGACTCATCCAGCTGGGCGAATGTCAGACATTCAGCCTTGCATATTGTTTTTCAGATAAGGTACACACGCAATCAGGCCCAGGAAACCGACGCTGCCCACGCCGCATCATGTACTCGCATACAAACGCACACCTGTGTATACACATATGATTACCTTTGTCTTTCACGGAGCTGAAATACTTCTGCTCTTGGATATACATATATACAATCCGCTGCCTGTTTTTCAGACCTTTCTTTTTTTCCGTCTTCCTTCCAACCAGGAATCGGTTGTCATTCATCTCAGCTTTCTTTTCCACAGCCAGAACTACAAGTGGACAGGACCATGACGCACGTTCAGCCATGCACATGTATTTCACTCTACCATGTATGCCTCAAATATCCATTTCTGCATGTCGTCATGTGTATAGGATATCCCAGGTGCAGGGAAAGAGCATGCACGGCGTTTTAGCAAACCAGCTCTGGGAGTTCTCAACAGGGATTCAGTGAGTTTCCGCTCTGGTGGCTCAGTGTTGGGATTGCGGGTGCACAACTCTGTCAGGTGCAATTAGGAGGAGCCCATTCAAGTGAAAGCTGTGTGACAGCTTGTTCATGATGTAAGCTTCGCTTTCCTCATCTGCCTGAGAAATGGATACACACACACAGCAAATGTTGGTGTCTGTGTGTGGGACATTCCCAAGAATTTGGTAGTCATCCAAGGAGCTCTATACCTGCGGTGAACGATTCACTTGTTAACCCCCATGCAAACATATTCAGGACTTTCCACCGGCTTGTTCTTCAGGTGTGTCCTCAGGAGGGCTCTGCCTCTTTTCATCCATCAGGGGGGAATGTCATACAGGTGGTCAGAGGGGAGACTGAGAAGCTGCTTTAGTTCACATTGTTGTTCCTTTTTTGGCCCGAAGCCCTGCGATTAATCACATCTTCTTTAACAGAGAGCATAAGCAGGAGCTGCTGTTGTTCAGTGTGAAAACTGGCCACAGCTTCTCAGCGCTGATGACTGTCTAGTATTAGGCTTGTGGCCATGCGCCGTTATGGTGGAGATAAGTTGCATTCTTACTGTGTTGGTGGTCTTCTGTCAAAGCGCTCTCAGTTGTTTGGGGGGGGGGGGGTTGGACTCCATGATAATTCAGAAGCAATTAAATGTAATTAAAGCAAACCCAATGATCTCTCTGTTAAACACACACCAAGAACAGATAGAGTATTTCTGGGTAGAATTTAAGCAAAACATGTGGCGGCTGTTGAGGTTTATGCTAACTTCTAGGCTTCATTATTCATCATTCTTCTTATTTAAAATGCATTGAATCTAATGAAATTACTTTATAGGTATAGTGGAGCGAATTTTTGGTAAGACCCCCCTCTCCACTTTAAAAGGGAAAAAAAATGCACATGCACAACCTTGTACCCACTCCTGAGAGGGAATGCCTATTAAATGCGTGCGAGAGCGTACACGATGAGAAACAGGCTTTTGCACGTTTAATTTAATTTGCACGTTGTCTGAATGTTCGCCCTAACCCCTAAATCCCTCCATCACTGTATAAAGCAAGGACTATATAGAGGATTTTACAGTGTCCTCAGTTAACTGACTGGATGAACGCTGCTTTTTTCTCCCCTTTGGTCACCTAACTCCGCCCCCATCACGCAGTGCATCCATCTTTGTTACAGTGGAGTATTTTCGCACTTTTTTTAAAGACTCCCCCCTTGCCACTTTAAAAAAAATGTACATGCACAATCATGTACCCGCTCCCGAGAGGGAACGCCTATTAGACGCGTGTGAGAGCATGCACAAGCCCTTTACTAGCAGTGATGTGAAATGGATTTCTCCAAATAGCATGCCAAACTTTACCTGTCGAGTAGAAACTGCAACCGACTCATCAGTGGGAAGCTCGACCTGTGCTTTCATTCTACGCCATTGCATGAAAGAATCTCCAAAAAACACTCTGGTATTTTTTCTCTCTTCTGTAGACACTTTTTCTCTTATGACTCTCGGCGATTTTCAAAGAATTGCAGTGAGAGAGGCGAGTTTCAATGACTGGGTGAAACCGTAGCTCACACATAATATGCCTGAAAGTGCACATGTGCAGAAAAACACTTAGGGCGGCCTTAGGTAAGCATATCACCAGAATGATTGACAATTAGGAGGACCAATTATTTAGATGATCCACCGGGATTAAGAACATCCTCCACTATATCTTTAACTATGTTGATGATGATGGGGTCAGATATTGGACACCACTGGTCTCTTTTATTGCAAATCCAGAGATTATTTCTATTTAATGTTAAGCAGTTGCTGCTGGTAACAAAGATTAGAATCAAATATACAGTAGCTATGAAGATATGTTTGGTTAAAAGCTGTTTGATTAAACTATACTAAAATAATTAGCTTCAAGTGTTCTCTGTCCAACTGATCAATATCTGAGGAAAAGTAACATTTTCAATTTTTTCTGAGTTAAAAATCCAAGTTTTTCGCTGGGATATTTAGGAGAAAAAAGAAAAACGCAGTTTGGCTTCTCCGTCTGCTCCAACAAACCACTGCCGGAGGTGTTTCCTCTTGTCCCTTCGACCGTCTACGAATTAAATGTTTTTTTCTGAGGTTTTTAGTACAAACTAGTTGACTATGTGGAAGAAAGAAAAAGGGAAACTGCTCAAGCGATCACATTCTCTGCTTATATAAGAAAGGTTTCAAAACTGTAAGGTGGGTAAATGTAACTCAGGAGAAGAGATGGTTCAGATTTCTGGATGTAGGTTTAAAGGGTTTCTCTTTCACACATTTATCCTGAGGACAGAAAAACTGTTAAAGATATGTTCATAACATTACAAGTATGGATAATAACAGCAGACGTGAATAAGCTAAATATTAATGCGACTGACTGTTATTGCCTTCAGGTACCATGCAGTCTGGAGTACTGGGATGAGCTCCAGCAGGCCTTTGTTTCATACCGGGAGTTCAGCTTGTCAGAAAGCCGTGCCTGCCAGCTGCAGCTGCCCAGCCTGAGCCTCACTGATCAGCAGAAAGAGCTGGTGGCCTCGGACCTCTGGAGGATCGTCCTCAACCATAACGCAGAGGGAGGCGATGAGCAGAGGTGAGGCCAACTCTCCTCTAACATAAAACCTGGGATCATATGATGACGGCTGCGGCTCATTGGAGAAAAATGGTTCCATCTTCTTCCATTGAGAGAAGAAAAGCCTCACAACCTATCTGTTCCTACTTCTAATTTTTTATTTTTGCTGCCTTTGCTTTATGTTTATGTTTTCAGTCACTTCTTTTTGTCTGACTTAATTCAGTTTTAACATAAATGTTCAGGTAAGACGGGTCCCTCTCTAAGGTAAAATGTCACATCTTTCTGAGATTTACCTGCATGAATAATTATAAAAACAAAGTGTCCATGACCAGGATGCTGAACCCTAAGCTGCTTACTGTTACTTAATGTGCTTCAGCGTGAGATAATGGGAGATTTAGCGATACATGATGGTGGGTTCACAAGAACGAGACAAGAGTCTAATAATATTTTGGGGGAAAACTACAGTAAGAGTTCCCTGTTTTTCACAAATAGCGTAAAACCTTCATGAGTCAAAAGCTGAATGAGGCGGCGCGTGTTTGACAGGTCCAAATATGGCGTTTTACATGCTTGTCTAAATGTACGGGCTTCTAAATGCCAAAAATATATTACGTTTGTTTTGTTTTTCCATAGATAAAATAAAGCTTTCATGACATTTCAAGTTTTCAAGAAAATATCAACTTTAGCATTGACGGCGGCTAACAGTTAGCTGCTGGTGCATCCTAATCATCCAGAACTTCTCTGCTAATCTGTCACCGTTTCTTTTTTTCCACAGAAATCCCACAAAGATGCAAACTATGATGTTTAAAATTAACATTAACATTCTTTTTTTTTTTGAACATTCAGTTTGAAAAGTGTAAATTAGACCCAAAGCTTATTAGAACCTCCTTCAGGTGTGTGTGGATGTGCCTTCTCTGTTCCCGTCGGGTGTGAGGAAAAACAGAGGGCTTCCAGACTGGAGCACAAAGATCTAAAATGTGTCCCTCGCCCCACATCTGGTGTGCAGGAGCAGGGAGCGGGCTTGGAAGGCGTTCAAATAGGCCTAATGAGATTTCCCAGCACACCAAGTGCCTGTCAGGGCCCATCCGGATTCCTTCCTGCTTACCTTGAGTGTATCTAATCGAGGGGAAGCTCAGGGGAAGCACAATGAGCCCCCCCCCCTCTCTCCTTTAGGTTAACTGGTGAGCTGTTAGGCCGTTCTTAGCCCAGGCTGGATCTCACCAAGCTCTAACACTTCCCAGAGCGCCTTCTTACTTCATGCTTCTTGCTGCCACTGGTTTCTCTCCCTTGCGTCTCCCTTAGCCTTCTGTTACATCTCCGGGGTTCTGACGGCGTTTTAACAAATTTCACTCTGGAGTTCTCTCCTCCGTTTCTTATCTTACTTCATCCTGTTTTCTTTCTTTTCCATTGTTTGCTTCCTTTTTTGGGGACTTAGAAAATCTTTTGGGTAAACGAAGCGCCAGGCCTGCATTCTGTGTGGTTTAGACAACTTCAACACGGAGCTCTCTGCAGGACCATATACTGTGTGTAAAGTAAAATAAACATCTGTATTTCATTACAATCATACCCCCAAACACTACATTTCCTTAATGTTTGAATTATTTGTCTTTTTTGATCAAAACTGATCCCCTTTCCTTACTCCCTCATTCCATCTGCCATACTTTAGTTTCCACCAGAAAAATAGCTTGGCTGCGCTGCCAACTGGAAGTAATGAAAATTGTCAACATATGATTGTTATCTTTTTAAGGAGCGCTCCGCTGGACCCGCATTTTTCACTTCTCCAGAGTTTTCCTCTTAAAGTGGATCATGGTAGCTGCAAATTATAGAACAAATGGTCGTTCATTTTAAACTGCTTCCACTTCGACATCATCAACCATGAAATGCAGTTAATGTCCACCGAGGAGTTTTCCTGGAAACTGGCTGCAATAATTTACCTAACAACCCTGGACAGTTAGTTATTGTCTCTTTGCTTCCAGGTTTTCCTGAGAGGTCCTGGTGTTTGTCCTGATAGGGATTTATGTGTTTTTGAAAGATGTAGAAATGCCATTTATTTTATGGATGTATGGAGTGAGTTTCATTCCTACGAAGGAGTATAAAGTCCAGGCTACAGAATCTTTTTTTCTATTTCGAGAATAAAGTCGCAACATTATGATAATAAAGTCACAACGAGAATAGTCCTAAAATTATGAGAATAAAGTCGTAAAATTACAAGAATAAAGTCATAACATGTGAATAAAGTCATAAAATTATGAGAATAAAGTGTTAACATTACGAGAATAAAGTCACAACGAGAATAGTCGTAAAATTATGAGAGTAAAGTCGTAACATAACAAGAATAAAGTCATAAAAGTACGAGAATAAAGTCATAAAATTATGAGAATAAAGGCATAAAATTCTGAGAATAAAGTGGTAACATTACGATAATAAAGTCACAACGAGAATAGTCGTAAAATTATGAGAATAAAGTAACATTGCAAGAATAAAGTTATAAAAGTACGGGAATAAAGGCATAACATGAGAATAAAGTCATAAAATTGTGAGAATAAAGTGGTAACATTACGATAATAAAGTCACAACGAGAATAGTCGTAAAATTATGAGAATAAAGTAACATTGCAAGAATACAGTTACGGTATAAAAGTACGGGAATAAAGGCATAACATGAGAATAAAGTCATAAAATTGTGAGAATAAAGTGGTAACATTACGATAATAAAGTCACAATGAGAATAGTCGTAACATTATGAGAATAAAGTCGTAACATCACAAGAATAAAGTTGTAAAATTACGAGAATAAAGGCATAACATGAGAATATAGTCACAAAATTATGAGAATAAAGGCATAAAATTCCGAGTATAAAGTGTTAACATTACGAGAATAAAGTCATGACGAGAATAGTCGTAACATTATGAGAATAAAGGCATAAAATTCCGAGTATAAAGTGTTAACATTACGATAATAAAGTCACAATGAGAATAGTTGTAACATTATGAGAATAAAGTCGTAACATCACAAGAATAAAGTTGTAAAATTACGAGAATAAAGGCATAACATGAGAATATAGTCATAACATTACGAGAATAAAGTCACAACGAGAATAGTCATGAAATTCCGTGACTAAAGTCATAATATTACGAGAAAAAAGTCACAACGAGAATAGTCATGAAATTACGAGAATAAAGTCGTAAGATTACGAAAATAAGGTTATATTTTATGACAACTCTTACAAGAATCACTTTCTTTTGGACAGTATGCTGACAGGAAAGGAGGTATGAGAGAGGGGGAAAGACATGCAGCAAAGGACCACAGGTTGGATTCGAACCCAGGCCGCTGCGTCAAGGGCTAGGGCTTATGTACTGTACATGGGTCGTGTGCGCTAACTACTGCACCCCCTTACAAAATGTTTTAAAAATACAATCTGAGAAAAGAGCAAATGTACTTTCAAAACCTTTTTTAATTAAGTTCCATTTCTATATTTGCATTTTTTTTATTTCCTTTTATAAAATGTTCTTTGCCTGCAACAATATTGGAACAAAATGCACTCCATATGGATGAAGCCATTGCTTTTGTTATATATAAACCTTCAAGAGTTTTTGCTAATCTTTATTTTTCTCTTATTATTACTGCAAATATATTTATGTTAATCATCAGTGATTATTGTCATGTTCTTTATCTGTTTCACTGAGTCAATGTTTCTCCCCTCCAGCTCTGATAGTGACTGTGGGTCTCAGCCTCCATGCGATCAGCTGGTATCACCGATAGCGCTGGCAGCCTGTACCCGTGTGGACTCCTGTTTCGCTCCCTGGTTCGTCCCCTCGCTCGGTGTTTCCTTACAACTAGCAAAGCTGGAAGTTCACCTGTGCCACCACCTCGAGCAGCTGGGTACAGGTACGCTGAAATAAGCTGAACTGCATCGCACAGTTTCATGTCTCACCTAAACAATTAACCAGGAATCTGGGAAAACATTCACTCTCTGGAACTTTAAGGATTTTATAGTTTAGTATCTGACTTTGTGTTCAACTTCTTCCTTTTTGTTTTAATTTGTCATGTGACCAAAAAACTCAAATATACTCTCAACTAACATTTTAAAGGGCCTTTATTATGCTATTTGAAGCCTTTTAAGTCACTTGTAGCCAAGTATATGATGCAATAATGCCTTAAGATTTATTTAGTCTTCCTTATGAATTTATTATGAAGTACAGGTAAAGTCAGAGACCCTGATTAAAACCATTTGACTTCAAATATTTTCACTGCTTAGAAATTAGAAAAAAAAAACAGGAGAGGTTGCTGCCCTGATAAGATGCTGAAAGAGCCACCTCAGATTCCAGACTTGCCTCACATCACCCCTGGTGTTCGTTGTTTTTTTGGTTTTTTTGCGGGCGTAGCCCAGTTAACATAGGTGCTTCCTGGAGGGCATGTTCTTATGTAGATATTCTTCAATGCTTGCATCCACAGGTAAGGGAGGGGCTGCTGCTCAGACAGCAGAGCTCATCAGGATTAATCAGACATGCAGGAATCAAGCAAAATACATGAAGGAGCAGCATTAATATTAAAAACCTGTGGCAGTCTGGGGGAGTGGCAGCCTAGTGGTTAGGGCATTGAGCTTGGAATCATGAGGTTCTGAGTTTAAGTCTCAATCCCACAGACTGCCACTCTGGCTCTCTGAGCAAGGCCCTTAACCCCACTCTGCTCCCCAGGCGCCCCACAATGACAGCCCACTGCTCCCCAAAGGGGATGGTTTAAATGCAGAGGTAAATTTCTCCAATGCGAGATCAATAAAGTTCATTTATTATTAATATTATTAAATCAGCTTGTTTAGCATGATAATAGGCCTTTAAGTATAAATATATAGAAAAGACAAATGTGTTTCCTTTTTTTTGATAAATATTTATATTTTCACTGCTTTTACAACAGATGAGGTCATGGTGAGACTGGTGCAAATATTCAAGGCATCAGTCTGGGTCCTCACTGTTATATGTTCATCAGTTTTGCTTCTATTTTTGTAAATAGCTGCAGGTAAAGGTTACACGAATACAGACCTGAGAAATTTTAGCTTCAACCTGTTTATAACTTCCTTCTGAGCGCTCGCACAAAAAGCGAGTCAAATATTACTACTATTTTTAAGCATTAGTGCAGATTTGAGTTGGTTAATTAAACAGTCTGCCTGCAAAGTGAGATTCTTGTACTTAAAATGGGAAAAAAAACCTTACTATTATCTTCTTTTAAGTGCAGTATATCTGATTATTTTATTTCAAGGGCCAAACTTCTCATAAGAAATCCTTTACCTTTTAAGATCTATTTTTGCAGTGTAGCCTCGACATGATACCAGTTTAGCAGACAAGAAGGAGTCCTAAATCATCTGGATCATTTATAGAGATAAAACCCTAATGTCCACGTTGACCTAATCTACACCTTCATCATTTGCTATATTTATATCTGATCGTCAATAAAAAGGATCTTCCTTTTTCATCATCTTACCAACAGATATTCATTAAATTATTATTAAATTTAATAAATTTGAAATGTATTAGATTTCAAATTGTAAAAACACCTCTGAAAGTTTACTTGATTGTTATTAATCATCCTCCATAACCTTTTTTAACTGCATTTTATTGCTTTTGGCAAAAGCTAATTAATCTTTCACTGTGGTAATGAAATAAAGTATCTAATCTAACATGAATATCAAAAATGATGCTTAGTATACTATAAATGAATAGTAGTCAATGTGAGTCTGTTAGTTTGTGTTTTTTTTTTATCATAATTTGTAGATGATCGCTGTAAGAATTATTGTGTTCAAACATCTAACATTAAATGTTTAGTTTATCTTTATAGAAAACGTCATCTAGAACCACTTTGTAGGCATTTCAATTTAAACCGTTTAACTGACTGATTTAGTTTTCTATCTTAGGACTTTTTTACTATTATTATTTTGATCCACTTATTTGTGTGATGCTGACGTTTATATTGTTCTTTACATTTAATGTATTCATTTGTAGTTTAAGTCTTTTAATTGGGTGACATGCCAATTTAAGCACATTTGTAAAAACAGTGTTATTTTATTTATTTATTTTTTTAAAGCAGGTGGCCAGATGGGTTTGGCTCTGCCTGCAGCAGAACAGCCAATTCATAGCAAGTTTATTTAAAACGCCCATTTTATATAACAATCGTAAAATCAATACACATAATAAAAGGGCAATAAAAACAATAATCGTTCTACATAAATCCCAATAAAATACACTGAAACAAATTGAAGGATCATTATTACGTTTGCAAGGCATCTTCATTCAAAGCTTTCTTTCCAACGATTAAAATTGTTTTTTTCTTTTTACATTTTATGCCTTACGTATGATCAGAATCTACAGTATGGATCTAATTAACTTGATATTGTCTCTTAGATATAGCCTAGCAGACTGCTGATTGGTCGTTTTAATTCAACTATATTTATTGGAAACATGTTATTAACAGTTTTTATATATTTATCAATAATTAGAGCTAAATATGTGTTTTATTTTCCTTTCATCCAGTTCCATCAAGGAAACTTCATCCCTTCCTGCCCGACAGGAAGTTACCTCAAGAGCAAGAGTTCATGGTGATTGGTTCTCGGGAGCCCCAGGTCTTCATGCGTCAGTGGAACAACGGGCCTCGCCGCTGTCAGGAGATGAGCTTTTCCACACAGCTGGACTGCAAACTGCTGGAGTACCGAAACTTAACGCACCTGCAGCTTCTTCAGTCTTGTGCGCTTAAGGTAGCTGAGCATCACTCTGCTCAGTTTTTTTTTTCATTGTTCAGACAAAAAAAGGTTTATTGATTTGATTTTTTTTTTTTCGTTTTGTCTTTTAGGGGCAGGCCACCGCTATCAGCTGCCCCCAGAACTCCTCTTTAGCTGTTGATGTGTTTGTGGATCCTGTGCTCCTTAATATCAGCCAGTATGCCATCCATACCGTGGACGCCGCGCTGCTAAGCTGGCAACAGGTACAGACCGCCTGCATCCCATCAGGCAGCCGCACCTGCCTCACATTTATGTCAATAATTACTTTTTTTTGTTTTGTTTAAGAGTTAAAAAGGAGAAAATCTTTATCTTAATTATTTTTGTTCCTGTTTCAGATTTACGAGATTTATTTTTATTTTTTTTATAAGGTTTTCCCAAAAACTGCCTTTATCTACTGTACAGTCTACGTCTCTAATCTTGCTTTTTTAGATTCATTTTAACATGATGATGTCACCGTTAGCTGCAGGCTCATAGATACGCTAAACCTGGATTGAAACGTTTGCAGAATTGATTTATTCTGTAGGAAAATCTTTCAGGCAAACATCCCGCCTGTTTTCATTTGACTCTTAAGTTTTTCGATGGGTTTCTTTTTTCGTTTCAGCTCACCGGTAGCTCCACTTACTTATGTGTCACACCTGTTTGGTGTGATCCACCAAAAAACCTATAGAAATATCAAACCCTGTTTCTCACCAGCTAACATGAAGCACCCTCATACTTTACACCAATTGGGAGCTTTTAATCAGAGAAAACCGTATGCTTACAATTAGGAAATGTTCATTTCGATTGTAATGTTTTTTTTATTTAACCAGGAAGTCCCATTGAGATTCAGAATCTCTTTTTCAAGAGAGAGCTGCCAAAGGTAGCAGCCAAACCACAGGAAGTTCATACATATTTACAACATATTACATTTTTCATAATAAAATCAGAGCAGTATGTTAAAACACATCGAGCATCTCAGGAAAAACAAGCACATATCTCCATCACTACATTCTTCATGGTTACTTTAAATTCATTAATGGACACCAGAGTTTCTAATTTGAGCTCTTTCTGGGGGTTATTCCATCCTCAAGGTGCAGAGTAGGAGAATGCAGTTTTTCCCATCTCAGTTGAAGCTCGGGGTACAAATGTTGCCACCGTCCACTAGATGGTCCACTAATTTATTCTTAAAGGCTTGTTATCCTCCCGCAGCAGTGTGTGTCGCAGTGAGCTTGTCGCAGATAATTTTGATTTATTATCAACATTAAAGAGTGGTCTGCGCTATGTTATTCTACGCTACAGCGTAAAAGGAGAAAATCAGGAACTAGCTGTGGGTCTAGATACGGCCATGGCGGTGACGAAGTGGGGGCAAGTTTGTGCAACAATCGAGGGACATGGGTGGGAAAAAGAGCGGGGATCCAGCTGGGAAAAGGGTCCCAGCGTTCTCGCACACCTCATTCTTTTAGTTGGTCCATCTTCACAGGTCGTTTTCCACAATGGCGGTCATACAAACAAAACAAACCAGCAAGGTACTAAACTGGACATATGCATAGTGTAGAGTGGATTTATAATTGACCAATTATACATCCTATCTGCGGTCATCTACAATTTGGGAGGTGCACCAGAGGGTGCATATCTGCGTTAACTGCGACACACGCAGACGACCTGGTTTCTGTGTATAAATCAGCCTTAACCTCGCAACCTCCACCCAACCCACTCAGTGGCAGATCAGAAACACAGTTGGACCTCAGGCACTTTTTATTTGGACACCTGCCTTTTGGAACTTTGAAACTATTCAAAGTCATTTTCTTGACTTTAAGTGTTGAAAGGTTTTTCTATATATGACCGTGACTGAGTGGATGTGCTCTCTTCGTCCTCTGGCATGGGAGCTGCCTTGGAGCTCGTCTGCCTGGCTGTGTGTTTCCTGGACGGGGCCGCCTTTTACAGCTGCTTTTTGTATCTCTGCTTCTGTCTCCTTGAACCCCAGTCGGCCTCGGCAGATGGCCGCTCACACTGAGCCTGGTTCTGCTGGAGGTTTCTTCCTGTTAAAAGGGAGTTTTTCCTCTCCACTGTCGCTACAAGCATGCTTAGTGTGGGGGATTGTATTTGAGTCAATGCAATCAACTGGTTTTCCTTAGATAGAAAACTTTGTATCAATTTGACTGTATGATCTGGTTGAACTGTAAAGTGCCTTGAGATGACATGTGTTGTGAATTTGGCGCTATATAAATAAACTGAATTGAATTGAATTATATCTTTTCATTGTTGCTGTTTGATGTTTAAATTCAGTCATTGAGGTAATTGGATGACATGTTCTCTAAGGTTTAAAGTTAGATTTCATCTAAAAGTTTCTACGTTTAGATCACTTTTCAGAAAGTTAGGGAGTGGTTGGAATAATTTATTATGTCTATTGCGTTAGCCTTTGTAATAACTCCATGTGGCACTAAGAGAAGGTATTAGAAATCATTCAAAAATCTGTGCACGATCAGAGAATTTGGTAAAAGCCTGTCTTTAGTCCCAGATGAAATATAAGTTAACTTGACCGAGTGGATTCCATGAGACTGCTTCAGGTTGGACGCCAGCTGTAATAAAATTTTCAGTGGGGAATTGCCTCTCTGTTTGGTGTAGATTGTGACTAAGAGGATACCAGCGTTTGGGCCTCATCATTTCCCAGATCTCTGCTCTCAGCACTGTTTCTGGTAGCCAGGATATTTGTGTGTGAAGCGATGCCCATGAAAACATGGTAAAACTTGAGTGGTGACACCTGCCAAGACTTCATCTGGGCCTAGTTCCCCACCCAGATGTTTATTCTCTGTACACGCTTCCACCGAAACACACAAACGGCGCTTTAAATCCTGTATCAGGGCTCTGCTTTGCTTAGCTGTGCTGACTCATATACTGGCCTCTGGAGACACAAGGTTCTCTCATGATTTTTACATGCGTGCAGGAGTCTGTGCCAGGTCAAAAGAGAAAAAAAAAAAATTAATGGCCGATGTTTTTCTAAAAACAGCTGTGGTCTTTTACCTGTGGAAAATAAAATTAAACAAGCCGTATAAAAATACACTATGAAATGATTGTTCTGGCTTGCAGTTTATTGCCTTGGTTTTCACTCAGTGACATCAGTGAGGCTTGACTGACTGTTTACTGATTTGTCAAGTTTGGTCCGTGGCGTCATCACAGCACTCTTTGTTCCCTATTTATGCCGGTTATTTTAGTCATAAATAAGACTTTAGACTGCTGCTAATGTTACAATAAAAGGCCGTTTTAGGCTTGTTTCTAGTGGGTGGCTCATGTTGCAGCTCACTCTTTTCTTGCCGCCTGTCAGGGCTGACATCCTCTAGTTCAAACGGAGGCTCCCCGAATCTCTTATAGGTTGATCACAGCTGTAAGAAGATTAAGCTGCTATAAATGACACAGCTGATATATATAACAGAAGGATTTCTAAGTACTGCTTGTGTCATTGCGAGGTTTAAAGTGTAAATTATTTCTATTAAAGGTGATGGCACCTCCCTGACAATATCTAGCACACTCACAGTTGCCCGCTCTTGTTTATAATTAATATTTAATTTATCAGAAGAAAAGCAAAACCTCTGCATGGCTTCTGAACCCCTTTGCTTCATTAAAGGTGCATAGTCACCAAAAACCCTTTGCACCTGATAAAATAAGGTCATAAACACCGAGCGTCCTTCCTGATAATGTTTAAGTCGTCCTTTTTGAGCCTTAATAGAATTCCAGTATCGGGAAAGATGACCTGACTTAAACAGACGTTGTGTCATCTAGAGATGCACCAATCTAGATTTATTCAGATCCAGCCTGATGACAATGTTTGGGCTTAGCTGTCTGCGATATCCAATACACATCCTATTCAACTGTTAAATGAATTAACCATGTATCTAGCCATGTGACTGAAGGCTTTAGCCTTGATTTAAACATTGTTAAAAAAAGGAACTAATTACCACAGATATAAATGCACTTTTATATTATTTATTACTAAATAAGCAGAAGAAATAAGGAGATAACAGTTCTATTGGAAGTGCAATCTCCAAATTCCAATCACCAACATCTGATCCAGCTAATTAATCAAAAACGGAGCTCATATCTGATCCAGGTATAGATTGGTGCCTCTCTAGTGCCATCTGCTGGTAGTGCCACATAGCTACAGTAGCAGCCGTTAGAAATGGCTCTTACCAGTGAATGCCCACATCCCTGCAACTCCCAGAGAAATCCCCTTCAACTTCCAGCCACAGGAGTGACCCCCTTCTTACATATTTTTTGATACTCTGACCCCTCCCTCTCACTGAATTAGAGGCTCTGACCAAGAGATGACGCTTCTCTTTAGATCTTATTGTCCACAAATCATGACAGAATATTTTAGTACAAAGATTGATGTTTAAAAAGTAATTGTAGGGGAGCAGCAAAGGGCACATCAAGGAAATTGGGGAAATTTTGATTGGCTACTACTGTATCAGTAAGATAGAAGGTGAGTTATAAATGTAGCCTGATCATCCTGTAAAGCCTCCTGCTAAAGCAAAAGCTTGGCATGGTGAAAGATAAATAAACTGATCTACAGCAGCTCTAAATTCCGGTCAATCTGCTCCAGAGGTTCCGATCAGAAAATCAAGGAGATTTATCCTGTTTCTATCTTATTTCCACACTTCCCTGGGAGGTGCTAACTGGCTCAGCTACCTCCTTTTTTACCTCCTGTGCACATGCGTAGTGGCCTACCTCTGTTGTTATTGTACATTCAGACCAACTGTTTTATTTGCTAGCTAATTATGCAAAAAACAAAGAGTAAAATATACTAATAAAATAAATAGTGTAATTCATGAGCAGGATGTGGTAGTGATGGTGAAGTTTCTCAGTCATCCAGGTCATAGTCATTCCAAAAAAAATTAAAAACAATCCACTAGACGTTTCGCTTCCATTCAAGGAAGCTTTTTCAACTCAAAATGTCAGAAATAGCGTTGAGTTCGAGGCTTTATACAGTAGTAGATGAAGGCGTCCGCCCCTTTGTTAGCCTACAATGCCATTCCAATCTATTTGTCTGAAAGGTCCTTAAAGGGAAATGTTGGCCTGGCTGTATAGACAAGGTCCTCCACTCTCCTGTACAGGGCTGGGGCTGCCATGATAACTGGAGGGGATTAACTCAATAGCTACATTATAAGTTTTTGAAAGCTAGAACCTGAGTCCAGCCCCTCTGTTGAAGGTTGGTTTTTCTTTCTTAACATAGATAATTCAGAACAACTTTATATGCAACCAAAGTGAGAAGCTGGGGTGTTGTTAACAAAAGTCAAATAATGTGACTTTGCAACTTAAAGTATCCATTAAAGCTTAAAAGCTTGATCGATATTCTGCCTCGTTTTGCCTCTTTTTTTGTGCTTTTTGGCTTGAATGTTAGAAAGCTGCTACTCCCTTTTGATGCAGAATCCTTACATGTAAACACTAGCATGGTAACCAGCAGTAAACAAATATGTTTTAGACCTGTTAAAATGTATAAGGCAATCATTTATGTACAGTATTTTCTTGATTAAAATTCTTGCTTTTTTTCTGCTGCACTGTAGACATTAAGTGGATGTATTAGTTTTGAAAAAGTTTTTATTTTGATGCAAAAGTTCATTTCAGTTTAGTGTATTTCTGTAGCACCAACTCACAACACATGTAATCTTAAAGCATTTTAAACAAACATCAATCAGAGCGTTTCAGAGTGATTCAGAGTTTTCAATCAAAGGAAAACCAGCTGATTGCATGGACTGGTTGACTTGGAGGATTCACTCCTCCTGGATCAGCATGTGATGACAGCAGACATTTGCTTGCAAAGTTGTAGCTATGACCTCTAAATATAAAATATTCTTCCTAAGACCATTTGTTTTAAAATAAAATGTCAGAGATTTTAAAAGCTCCGTCCTTCTATGAGGAATTTCAGTTTTCAGCAATACTTCTCCTTTTTCATGGGGTCAAGGCTAACAGGCAGTCCTGTTATTGAGTGACCTGCAGGGCCAACTCTGAAACAAAGCAGATTCCTCAAGTATAATTCTGCTTCAACCTTCTAACCCAGCCAGAGTCATAACAGACCACTACAAACACGAGAGATGGACCTCTTCCAGAGGGATTGCAATAAAAAGTAATAAAACACACTTTTTATGATCCTAACATATAGTCGCTTTGCATATTTTCCACGGTAATGAAAGCAATCTACTAAAAAATAATAATAATTAGCTTTCATCAATTTGCACAAAACAAATTCTTATTTATGTCAGTTTACTATTCATCCAATTTCATTAAAGCACAGCAGACCGTCCTGTTTTATCGTAACCTTTAGGTCTTCATCCAGATGCAGCGGGGAACAATTGGGTCCAGATATTTGTTGAAATGACCGTTTTTGAAAAATGCAGGGATTGTTCTTGTTGCTCCGTCTCCTTCCACCCTGTGGCCTCAGACTCCCCCCCCCACCCCAACAACCCCATGCCTCCATTTTCAACTTGGTCCCAAGGTGCCGTTCTCAGTCTCTGCTCCCTTTGGTTCCTAACTCAAGGGAAGTGGCTTTGGTTGAAAGCCACACAATAGTCCAGTAGTATTTCCACCGCTCTTTCCCACAGAACAATCCCAGGCTGCTCTGTATCCAGCTGAGACAAAGGAATTTTCCACCCCATAATTTTATCAATTAATTTTATTTTTCTCCACTCTCTCCGTGCTTCAATAGTTCTCTGTTTTGCTCTGTTTTTCTCTCTGCAAACCAGAAAGAAAACAATGCAGATCAGAGTTTCTGGCTGTAGCAGAGGTGTCTGATGCTTTAGGCGTTTCTGTGGGGAAGCAGAAGAACGGGGTTTGATTTCTCCTTTACAATGTCACTGTAGCATCCACAGGGTCCTATTTTATTTGCGTTTTGTCTCGGCCGCTATTTACAATCAGTTTTCCAGACATTTTACCGTAGCTCAGCATTTTTATGAGGGGCCAAACAGCTATGGCTTGGAGTCTAGGTGGATTAGAGTAAGAGGATGCTTTGATGCCAAGTAGGACAGTGTCTGAAGAAGAAGCTGTCATCGTGTGCTCTTTTACAAGATTTATGAGCTAAGTGTTTAAGTTTCTTTGTATTAGTGTTTATCCAGTTTAAGCCCCTACATACTTAAGGAGTGAGTATGATTATAAAAAGGAGCTTTCTGATAAGTGTATCACATTAGCTTGTGAATCAGAGCGGAAAGACGATCCGGTCTGAGAGCGGGCTTAGCGATGGCATCTTAAGATGGCTGCAGGAAGTTTGTAAATCGCAGTGACACATGCAAAAAAAGGGGCACAGATAGAGTTCCACTATAAAACTGGAAATGCCTTTAAACTCACTGCTGCAGCTGTCCCATCTATATTTTACTCTTTAACGCTCACACACATACACACATCCATCATCACTCGTTCTTTAAGCGGTGTAAACTTTCCCATCCGCTTTCGATCTAATCAACCACCCCAGGATCCTGAACGTGCTTGGCAGTCAGACTCTGAGATTTTACTGCCAGCCTCTTTTAACCATCGCTGCCTTTTCTCTGCACAAAGCTCTTGCCAGATCTCTGAATTCTCTCTTAGCATGTTTGAGTAATTATTGAGAAGCAGTATGAGCTGCATTTATCTGCATCAAGAGCTAAACAGAGGGTGTGCAAGAGCGCCCCCATCAGCTGGCTTGAGTCTGCAGCAGCTCAAATAGATCTTCCCATATTAACAGCAATGATAAACTCTTGTGCTTATTGTACTGCCTGGTGTTCTTCACTGCAATCAGCTGGTTTTCCTTACATATAAACTTTTTACCAACCTGACTGGATGATCTGATTGTAAAGTGCCCTGAGATGACATGTGTTGTGAATTGGTGCTATATAAATAAAATGAATTGAATTACTGCAGGAGAGTTTACACACACTGTTCTCTTCCTTTTTTATGTTTTTTTAATGGAATGAACATATGAGTGAGCGGCAGCTGTTTTTCAGACAGTTTTCTTCATGATACCGTAGGGCTGGACTTAGTTTGCTCTATGAAAACACATTCAAACGGGGTGTTACTTTCTAACATGATGACCTACAGCTAGAAGTGGATCCTTTGCTTACCAGTTATCAGGGCGACAGTGGCGTCAGATGCAGGAGGAAAAAAAAAAAAAGACCTCAGCTCTCATATATATATATATATATATATATATATATATATATATATATATATATATATATATATATATATATATATATATATATATATATATATATATGTGGACATACACTGTATATACAGACAAACTGTTTTATTTGCTAGTTAATTATGCAAAAAACAAGTAAGGAGTAAAACACAAATAAAAAAAATGTGCTAAATACATGAGCAGGATGAGTAATATATGAGCCAAATTGAGTAACTGGGGTATTGATGAAAAAAAAAGATAATAATGTGACTTTGCAACCTAAAATTGAAAACAAAGCTTAAAAGCTTAATCAAGGTTCTCCCTCGTTTTGCCTACTTTTTGTGCTTTTTGGCTTGAATGTAACACAGAGGAGAAGCTAATGCTCCCTTTGGTGCAGAAACCTTACATTTAAACACTAACATGGTGAAGAAAGGTAAACAAATATATGTTTTAGACCTGTCAAAGTGTTTGAGGCATTTACTTAAAGTCATAGGGAAGTCATTCGGCCAATCATATATCAACCGTCATCTGTCAATCAAATGTTTTCCGTCATAGCATCTTGATTCATATGTCGCAGCTGACATTTACCCTGACCATAACCATTATCAGTAAGTTCTAACCTTAACCTTAAGTTAATTCACACCATACCTCTAAACTGACTCTCTAAGGTTAAAAATGGGTGTCCGTTACATTAAGACCAGTCTTCAGTCCCCTTAAGGCCTTTTGGTTTTCAGAGGGCTAATAAATATAGCAAAAACTGTCCTAAATAAGCAACATTACACTAAATATCTGTATTTACTTCTATTGACCCAGGTCCTTCGAAAGAGCTGCTTCTCCCAAAGTCAACAAAGGCTCAGCATAGGCCAGTAAAAGTAATTTTAATAGGCGCTTCTGATTTTAGAAGGTTTTTCACATCTTTAAATGTGCAAATACGTTTGAACAAACAGAGCAGGTCTTTAAAGAAGGTATAAAACCTTTTTTATGTGTGGGGTCCCTTCATCGATATGCAGATGATATTCTAATGTCCCAACTGCAAATTCATGGGTGGAGGACATGCAAATATTAAAATATACCACATGCAAACAAATTTTCCAAATCAGAATCTCTGTTTGAAGTTTTTGTGTCTTTTTTTAATACTTTTGAAAGAGAGGTTCGAATTTACATGCTAACATTTCTGTGGCCATCGTCGCAAAGAAGGAGTCATTTTGCCAGATATTGGAGAGATATGCTGTGCACATATAAGCTTGTATGGACCATCTGAAATGACAATAGTAGAAAAATCTTAAGGAAGAAAAACCAACAGAAATGAATGCAAGTGGAAGGCAGACGATCTTTATACAATTAAACCAAAATGGAAAAAATGACTGAACTGGAGAGACATGTCCATTTTAATGGGTGGACCAAACTGGTTTGCACGTGTTGTAATATTTGTAGATTACCCACAACATACCCAATTATTATATTTACTAAGAAAAAAACTGCATGAGCAATTTAGCATCTCTTATATGGAATATTTGAAGATCAGGCACCAAGAGTCTACGTACAAAGTAGAGGACTAGAAACAGGACTATGTTGATTCACATTTTTCCTTTTTATAGTCACAACCTGGAATTCAGTTAGCTTTAATTAATGAAGAAAACAAAATACATGTTTTTTTAAATCTTCATTGATTTAAAGTAAGGCAGCCCATACTGCAATGAATAACCCTTCTTTTTCTTTTTCAGAACGGGAAACAGGATGCAGAGGAGCTGCTCTACAGTCACTATGTGATCTGTAATGACACAAATGAGACTCTGCGCTTTGGCCAAGTGGACACGGATGAGAATATACTGCTGGCCAGCCTCCACAGCCACCAGTACAGCTGGAGATCCCATAAGTCAGCTCAGGTAGTGTGTACAATTACAGGCTGGTTTTGGTTGGTTCTCTGCAGAAATGTGCACCATATGGAGTGAAAGGAAAATCCAAAAATGACACTTTGAGGTTTAGATCATAACTTTGCTGTTTTCATAGATTTTTATTTCTCTTACACAAATTTTTTTTTCAGATTTTATTCTTTTTATTGAGTTTTACTGATTTCATTTTTTCCAATTTGCATTTTACAAGTCGCATTATCTTCACTTTAACCCTTTATAGGGCACTCAGTGAAATACTTTGAAAATCTAAATTTCAAGCCAATTAGTTATTGGAATCCAGGACAAGACCTTTTTACCTTTGTAATATAAAAAAATTGGGATATTTTCATGCTAAAAATGTATGTCAACAAAAAGAAACACAGATTTGCTGAATATAGTAAGAAATATAATAAAAGTGCTTCTATAAGAAATTAATGAAAAACACTCAGGGTGAAAGAAAAACATTATTTTTGGTACAATATAACCTTAGAGGCATTAATGCTTGCACTTGCAATTTTTTTAGTTTATATACCTACACATAATTGTTAACTAGGCTTATTAACTTTTCAATTAGCTTTTTACCTTTTTTGTCTTGAATTGTTAACTTTTTTCCCAACTTTATTTACAGTAGGAAATACATCATTCAAGTGCTCATCTAATTGGTAAAATGCAGAAATAAGATGTACAGTACAGCCATCTAGCAGCATCTTTGCTGAATGGCTGGATATAGATGTTGTGCTTCTAGACCTCACTGAGGGACGGGGGGACTCCATTTATAAGGGGTATGCATGTGATTAAAAATGGTAACTTGCCCTTTAAAGGATTAAGCCCAATAAAAATGTTGTTGCTAAAGTCCATGCAGACCGGTAGTCACAAGGCGGGATTCCAGAAGGAAAGACATGTGATCTATACATTGAAAAAGAATGAAAAGTTTAAAACTCCATCTAAAAAGATCAATTTGAAAAATTAAATTAGAAAAAAATAAATAACATTTGAGAAAAACGCCAAGTTATTCTCAGAACATTCCTTTATGTGTATCCTTGATGAAGACATGCATTTGTTTCCTGAGACAGTTCCATAAGCATGCATGGATCCAGTTATTGATCCGATTATATAACAGAATTTTCAGAGAAATCAAAATAAAAAGCCAGCATGTTTCTAACAGATGGTTTCTAACTATGTCACATTCATTAGCTGACGGCACACAGGAATGATGTCCTCCTCAGAGGTTCACTCACCTTCATCAGTGCGCAGCAGCTATGCGAGCGTTGCTGTCGGCCTTCTCAGACATTTCCCTGACAGCATTGTTAAAGAAGATTGATTATATTTAACCCTTTGTGGTTTTGAGGTTGAGCGGAGGGTGGGCTGAGGCTCTGCGGCATGTGTGCGCAGTGTGCGTACGTGTGTATGGTATGCACATGTTCCAGGACCCCCGAGTGCTCCACGATGAGTGTGAGAAAGTCAAGCTTGAGAAAAGACATGGCCATAATTGCTCGCAGTAAGTCAGTAAGTCAAGTTGTATTAATCATCGACAACGGTTAATCTGTGCTCTTACCTCACTCTCGCTCACACACTCTGTGAGTGGCAATCTGGCATATTGGCACAGCCAATCCCACATCTCGTTTTTAGCGGTGAGTCAAAATGACCTCTGCGTTTTCAAGGATGTTTTGGATGAAAGATTGTCCAAATGAGCCAGATGTCATCATGGATGAAGAATGCGATTCCAGGCTGGTTCTGTCATGACTTATTCCATCATGTGTTTGTGCAATATAAAATGTGTGTTCTTAAGATGGACATGATTTGTGAAACTAGATAAAATAAGAAACAGTTATGTTGCCAGAACAGCTTAGCTAACTTCTAAGCATGGTGATAAAAAACCCAGCCAAAGTGTCCGCCTCAGCAAATTGTAGCAAACACTCCTAATTAGGTTTGGGGAGGTTATAAAAATAGTGACACTGATAAGAATGAGGATTTTATTTCTTTAATGGTTAAATTGTCCTGCAAAGTGTTGTTGGAGTCCATAAAAATCCATTTCAGATGGAAGTTAAATGCTTGGGCTGTTAGTTTAAGTCCCATGATGCTTTGGAGTATCGAAAACAAATCTGATCCCTCCGCAGCGTTATTTCTCTGTCGTTCACACCCTGCTTTATAAGCCTCTCTCTACATATAAGCCTGCTTTCTACTTTGATATAAGAGATCTGTTTCTCCTGGTTTATTTCATATATATTTCTTTTTTTTTTTACCTCACATTCTTCACTTTCATCAGATTTTCTTATTGCTTATCTTTGGCTGGTATCTGACAGAAAGCACTTGATGCCAATTATTTGTGCTGAATGTGCCAGCCACATTCCTCGTTAAATTAATCATAATAATTGTATCAAAACAGTCCTTTTTTTTCTGTCTTACAGTTTGTGCAGCCAGCAGACCTCTGTTGCCATTTCCAGGTTGTCAGATTTCCATTCAAACTAAAGCCAAGTCATGTTCCCATCCACTTTTTCTCATACTTTTATTCCCTCCTCATCTCCCAATATTGAAGCCCTTCCAAGCCCATCAGTAAACACTTTACGGCTTGGGACCCTTGGTGGAGTTACCTCACCCATGCTATCATATTGCTCATAGCGCTGACTGTTATTCGCAGCCATGTACTGGAGCAACCTACCGGCTACAGGTCAAAACCAATTCTCGACCTCACGCCCAAATCACAGGTCACCACTCGTAGCTGTCAAAGGATGTATTTTTCCTTGATTCATCAGCTATGTAACATCTGAGACCTTCTTTAACAGCTTTGGTCGTTTTGGGGTCTCACTTGGACATTTTTGCTCCTGTCACGTAGCCACGCACCACTATCTTGCAGTGTTCTCGTATTTTAACAATTTTTGTAGCAAAGCCAGGTGTTCTGGTGTTTTATGGCCCACCCTGGCTGATCTCACTTGCCCTTGTCTCTTTTTCTCTTCGTCCCTCACTTTTCTCTTATTATCTATTAGACTTTTCTTTTGGAAGAAGAAACACGTTTTCAGTGATGCAATCTTAAGAAAATAGTTATCTTCGCATTAAAGATTATATTCTCCCATCAATTCAGTTCACTCAGTTTATTCCTAAACCACTGATTCACAACACGCCTTTTCAGGGCCGTTTAAGATGGCGGCTGAGACATGCAAACGCTCTGCAAATACATAAATGAGCCCAGCATAAAAAAGAAACATGCATAGGACAAACGGTGTAAAAGAAAAATGCTGCAATCACAGAAAGTAGAGAGGAAAAGTGCAGACACTATGGAAATACAAACATGCTGCAAACACGAAAACTTCTGCTAACAAGTTATGCTATAACACAAAATGCATAAAAGAGAGCACATACAGTTAGTCGCACACTGAACCTGGTTCTACTGGAGATTTCTTCCTGTTAAAAGGGAGTTTTTCCTCTCCACTGTCGCTGCAGTGATTGCTGAAGAGTCAATGAGTTTATGCAATCAACTGGTTTTCCTTAGATAGAAAACTTTGAACCAATCTGACTGAATGATCTGATTGAATTGTCTCTGTTAAGTGCCTTTGGGGAAATATGTTATGTATCAGTGCTTAATAAATAAATTGAATCGAATTGAATTAAAATGACATAAAGGGAAATGGTGCAAACTAGCACAGAACAACGGATTGCTCTAGCACACCGGGAGGAGACAGTAATAGCCTTTACACACTGGCCCAAAAACCTGCTTAAGCCTACAAACAATCGGCTTTAATCGGCAGTGGGAAAGGCTCACTGATGACATGCTTGAGACGACTTGGCAAGCAACCTTGGTTAAAATCATCTTAAAACGGCTCTGCATGCAGTGGGAACATCCGACCCGGATCGAATCGCTAATTTACACGATACCATTGAATGCAGTGAACGTATGTCACAACATCGCGGCAGTCGCGTCTGATATAACGAGCCACAGCAACTCTCCTTGCATTTGATTAACCTGACCTAGCAGTGGTGAGAGAGATTCAGATGGAGAAAAGAATGAAACAATGAAGCGCTCTGAGTACGTCTTGGCTCCCCTCCATGTTGCTCTCCATTGTTTACTTTCCTGATTTTTGTCGCTTTGGTGACATCATCAAACCTAACCCAGGTTGATGGCGTCACCAAACATGGCACAGTGGGGGAACAGAGGCCACGCGGCTTCCCAGCAGGGGTCAGACCCCACTTTTTTGGTGGGGAATGGGAAGGGAGTCAATTGTTAGCGAGTCGAACCGTGTTTTAAAACCAGCATTAACCTGATCATTTCAGTGGGAAAGAGGCTTTAGAGTCCCTTAGTAAGGATATAAAATGGATGCTCAGAGAGATTGAATGTTTAAAAAAAAAGATTCAAAGGATAATTGGATCCTCTGGGCGGGCATCCTGTTTATGGTCTGGTCCAGGAAATTTCATTCATAGTAACGTCTACAGTCTGAATACCAAACCACAGTTATGGTTCCTTCCACTGTGTTGTAACTTAACAGGAAGAAACCTCCAGCAATACCAGGCTCAGTGTGAACAGCTTTCTGTAGCCACCAACAGAGCTTCTCCTAAAAGCTTCTCCTGAAATGTTGCCCTGCTGGATTGCTGCTCCAGGATGGGAGACAATTAAAGTCTCTTTGAAGTGTCCTCTCAGATTTTTGGAGATAAAAGTTTAATTCCATATAGTTATCCTTGAACTACTCTTGCCTTTTAGTGTCCTTTCACCATCTGGCATCCAGAGGCTTCGTGCTCTGTTTGGTGCTCATCTTTTATATCTTCCCAGATTGTTTTGTACCCCACCTTTACAAACCAATACGGTAATCAGTTTTTAACTTTCAGGAGGATAATCTGTTCTTTATCTAATAACTAAAAAAATCTTTTTTTTAACAATAATGATAATAATAATAGAATGTTATTAATCTCGCACGGGAGAAATTTACCTCTGCATTTAACCCATCCCCTTGGGGAGCAGTAGGCTGCCATTGTGTGGCACCTTGGGAGCAGTGTAGAGTTAAAGG